GCCTGAGCCCGCGGGTTCGAGACCCGCCTGGGCAATTTGGCGAGACCTCATCTCTACAGTAAATCAAAAAATTAGCCGGGTGTGGTAGCATGTGCCTGTAGTTACGGCTACTTGGAAGGCTGAGGTGGAAGGATCGCTGGAGCCCAGCAGGTCGAGGCTGCGGTGACTGGGAGCGACCACTGCACTCCAGTCTGGGTAACAGAGTGAGACTCCAACTCAAACACACACACACACACACACACACACACACACGCACACACACACACACACACACAAAGAGTACATTGACACACTTTAGTGGTTCTTAGTCTCAGCAGCACAGTTAAGAGTCTTCTAGACAGCTTCTGGTGTCTGGACCGCCTCCAGAGCAATTAAATCTAAGTCCTGGCCGGGCTCGGTGGCTCAGCCTGTAATCCCGCGCCTTTGGGAGGCTGAGGTGAGTGGATTGCCTGAGTCCGCGGGTTCGAGACCCACCTGGGCAGCAAGACCTCATCTCTACAATAAATCAAAAAATCAGTCGGGCTTGGTAGCGCACGCCTGTAGTTCCGGCTACTCGGAAGGCTGAGGTGGAAGGATCGCCGGAACCCAGCAGGTCGAGGCTGCAGTGGCCGGGAGCAGCCACTGCACTCCAGTCTGGGCAACAGAGTGAGACTCCAACTCAAAAAAAAAAGAAAAGAAAAAACAATCTAAGTCCTTGGGAGGGGACCCCAGTATTACATGCTTAAAAGCCCCCCCAGGTGATTCTAGTGTGCAGCCAGGGTTGAGAACCAGTGCTTTAGCTTATTTGATCTCCATAAAGGGTCGGGCTGGGATTATATCTCTAGTTAACGACTGAGGACACTGAGGTCCAAGGAAATTGAGTGACCTGCCCACAGTCAGCTTGTCAGGGGCTGGCAGCTGTGCCTCCTGATTGCCTCACCCATTGTCACATCCACTGTGGACATGTGAGATTCAGGAGGTTCAACCACAAGGACCTGATCAATATTTGCAGATGGTGTGATTGTCTACATAGCAGAAAGAGAAGCAACTAAATATCTCTTAGACCCAGTAAGAGAATTCAGGATGTCCAAGAGTTCAAAACAAGATCAGCATGTTGAATTCACACGTTTCCTACATGCTAGCAATAACCAATCACAAATATAGTTAGAATGATCCCATTCAAACTCATCAGAAAAGTGATAGAGCATCTGGGAATAAGCATAACAATAAATGTAACAAAAACCTGAAAAAAGTCAATACCATATTATCAAGTTGTCAGATCTTCCCACATTATTCTGATCTCAGTAGGATTCAGAAAACTTGAAAAAAGTTCCCAAACTTGATTCTGAGTTACATCTGGAAGAATAAATATGACAAAATTGCTAATGATTTGTTGCAAAAAGGATGTGGGTGAAGATTTGTAGGAGATAAGTATAGGGAGATGAATGGAGGCCTGGTTAAATACATCATTGTACGTTTCCTAAGATAAGTAAATGTGGAGAAGAGGTAGAAGAAAGGCCAGAAAGACCAAGAGAACAAGCTAGAAACTTAGTTTATGGTACAGATGGCATTTTTAATCAGTAGAGAAAGGTAGATCATTAAGTAGTGTTGGGAGACCACACTTGGAAAATGAAGACAAACCCCTACAAAAAAATACATTTGTGTTAGAGTAAATATTTAAATGTAGCAATTAAAACCTAATATCATAGAATAAAATATAAAGAATACTTTTTTTTTTTTTTGAGTTGGAATCTCACTCTGTCGCCCAGACTGGAGTGTAGTGGCCGCTCCCGGCCACCGCAGCCTCGACCTGCTGGGCTCTGGTGATCCTTCCGCCTCAGCCTTCCAAGTAGCCGGAATTACAGGCATGCACTACCACACCCGGCTGATTTTTTGATTTATTGTAGAGATGAGGTCTCGCTGCCCAGGCGGGTCTCGAACCCGCAGGCTCAGGCAATCCACTCACCTCAGCCTCCCAAAGGCGTGGGATTACAGGCTGAGCCACCGAGCCCGGCTATAAAGAATAATTTAATAGTAATCTTTAATTATGGGGAGAGTGAGTTATTTTATTAAATCCAGAGGTCACAAAGGAAAAATTTGATTAATAGGACTACATGAAAATTTAAATCGCTGGGCTCGGGGGGCTCAGCCTGTAATCCCAGCACTTTGGGAAGTCGAGGTGAGTGGATTGCCTGAGCCCATGGATTCGAGACCTGCCCAGGCAACTTGGCGAGACCTCATCTCTACAATAAATCAAAAACTAGCCGGGCGTGGTAGCGCGCGCCTGTAGTTCCAGCTACTTGGAAGGCTGAGGTGGAAGCATCGCCGGAGCCCAGCAGGTCGGGGCTGCGGTGGCCGGGAGCATGCCACTGTACTCCAGTCTGCACTCTGGTTTGTTTTTTTTTCCAGTCATAGTCTCACTCTGTTGCCCAGGCTGGTGTGCAGTGGTATGATTTTGGCTCACTGCAGCCTTGACTTTTCCTGGGCTCAAGAGACCCTTCTGCCTCAGCCTCCAGGTATTTTTTTTTGTAGAGATGAGGTCTCACTAGGTTGCCTACACTGGTCTCGAACTTCTGAACTCAAGCAATTCTCCTGCCTCGGCCTCCCAGAGTGCTAGGATTACTGTTGTGAACCACTGTTCCCGGCTGATACAAGTATTTTAATTTATGAAGATGAAGGGTGATAAGATAAACAGGTGGCATACATGGGGCTCTACTTACTCATAAATAAATATACATAATAGCAGCAAGATGTTTTCTCACCTAACAGATGGATAAATATTAAAAAGAAAGAATGCTGTCTGATGCGGATGAGGTGGAGGGAAATGCTATTGATTGGAACATAAATTGGTGACTCTTTTAGAAGACGAAGTTTTCAGTATCTATTAAGATTTAAAATGCCCATTTTCTTTGATCCAGCACATGAGAATATATCGTAAAGCACTAACGGGACAAGTGTGCAAAGATAAATGTACGGGGATATTTTAGAGGATTGTTGATAATGGCAGAAAATTGGGAACAATCTCAGTGTCTTTAGTGGGCAATTAGTGCCATAAATTATGATACATTTCCTGCAATGACTGTGCAGTCCTCAGAAGGGATTAGGTTGATCTTTATCAGTGGACATGCAAGGACAATGATAGTAAGTGAAAAAAGAAACAGGTTGCTGAAGAGTGCATGTAGCATGATTCCATGTATGTGGATCATAGCTGTTAAAAAATATGGAAAAGGCTGGGCGCAGTGACTCAAGCCTGTAATACCAGCACTTTGGGAGGCCAAGGCGAGAGGATTGCCTGAGCTCAGTGGTTCCAGATCAGCCTGGGCAACTTGGTGAGACCTTGTCTCTACAATAAATCAAAAAATAAGCCAGGTGTGTTAGCACGTGCCTGTACTTCCAGCTACTTGAAAGGCTGAGGCTGCAGGATTGCCTGAGCCCAGAAGGTCTAGGCTGCGGTGTCCATGAGTGTGCCACTGCACTCCAGCCTAGGCAACAGAGTGAGACTCTGACTCAAAAAAAAAGTTTTATATCTATATGGAAATAAGTTAACAGTTTTGGAAGAGATTCACCAGAGAGTATAGAGATAGTTATTTATTTTTATTTTTTCCACCCTCACCCTCAGAGATAGTTATTTCTAGAGAATAAGATTATTGGGAATTTTAATTTTCTTTATATCATCTGTATTTTTTAAAAAATCATCAAAATAATTGTAAAAGAAGTAAAAATCATGTCCAGTCAGAAAAAAACTCATAGCATACATCTCCAACTGTAGGGGAAGAAAAAGAATGGTACTATATGCTACAGATGGGTTTTCTTGGTAAATATTTGAGTGTCTGCTGTATAGCAGGTGTCGCTCTAAGCAGTTTGCTCATATTAAACACATTTAATTCTCCTCAGCAACCTATGAGGTCGGTATCATTATCATGATCATAATTCCCATTTTACAGATGAACCACAGAGAGGTTAAGTAACTTGCCAAGGTCACACAGCTAGTGCATAGCACAGCTGGACTCGAACCCAGGTAGTCTGGCTCCAGAGCCCATGCTTTTGGCTACTCGGCTCTGCTCTGAGGTAGGCATTATGACCCCCTCATAAGAAAGCATGAAATGGAGATTCGGAGAGGTGAGCTTACTTATCCAAGGTCACACCGCTTGTTGGGATAGACCTGGTGCCCAGGCCCAGATGTGTGGGTTACACCTCCTGACTCCAGGCCCCTGCCTGATCTGAGCCCGCTCCTGGAGCCAGGTCTGTGTCTAGAAGCTGGAAGGAGGAAGGTTGGACCTGTTGATGTCAGTGGGGCAGGCAGAGCTTTTTTAGTCCCCGGCTGCCCCCTACTGGCAGTAGGTCCAGCCGCCGGGCCCTGGGCCCGGTTGGGCCGAGAAAGATGGGGGTGGGGCCTGAGGGGGCAGGCCCAGGGCTGAGCAGCCACTCTCCCCGATTCAGTTCTCCGTGGACATCGACTCCGAGCTGGTGGAGGAGCTGCCGGCCGAGATCGAGCTGTGGCTGGTGCTTGTGGCCGTGAGCGCTGGGCTGCTGCTGCTAGGGCTGATCATCCTCTTGCTGTGGAAGGTGGGACCCCATCCCCTCTCTGGGCCTTGGCTCGGGACCTCCTGCCCGCACGTGCCCACCAGCCCTCCCTCCATCCCATTCCTCACCTCCGTCTCACCCGTGGCCTGCCCATGTCCTCACCACCATCTCCCCTGCTTCTGGTCTCACCCCCTGCTTGGGCTAAAGGGGACCCAGGACCTCTGGCTTCTGGCCACACCACCAGGCTGGGGCTGGACCCAGGCATCCAGCTCCCCAGCCCCAAGCCCTAGTCCACAAGTGCTGCTGGCCAGGACGCCCCAGCCCCCTGATGGCCCCTCCCCACCTCCTCCCCTCCGCAGTGCGGCTTCTTCAAGCGAGCCCGCACTCGCGCCCTGTATGAAGCTAAGAGGCAGAAGGCGGAGATGAAGAGCCAGCCGTCAGAGACAGAGAGGCTGACCGACGACTACTGAGGGGACAGCCCCCGCCCCGGCCCACCCGGGTAACGCGGCCTCTGGGCCCTCTTCCCCGAGCCCTGCAGCTGGCCGGGGCCTCTGACTCTGTCCTGTCTGCTCCTCTTCCATTATGCGCCTGCTCTGACCTCACCCTGTCCCCACCAGCAACTTCGACAGAGCAGGCCACTCTGACTGACTCCCGCTCCATGTCCCTGCCCTGGCTCTCACCAGCCTCCCCACTGAGCCCCTCAGGCACTTGGGACCCCAAGAGGGAGCCCTAAAACCCTCCCCGTAATTCCTCTGCTCTCTGGGGATCGGAACAGGGTCAAGGCCAAGGCTGGGCCCCATGTCTGTGGTCCACAAGGCAGGTCCAGAATGATTCTACAGCCCCAGGGAAGGAGGGGACTGGTAGGGACCTTCCTGGGAAGCAGCACTTATCTGCCTGAAGACCCCTTGGCATAACAAACTGACCACTCCCTACATGGGGTCAGGGTAGACCACCCTCCCTGGCCATCCCGTCAACTGTCTCTGCAGCCCCTCCCCGTCTCCATCTGCCTCCTCCTCTCCTCTCCACCGTCCTCTCCTCCTCCTTCCTCTGGGACCTGGGATGGGGATCCTCAGCCTCCTCATCTCTGTGCAGGGATGTGGGTGTGTTTCAGTCAAGAGTCCTGCCTCCGAGGACCTCTGGGTGGGGGAGGAAGAGGCCGGCTCTTCCACTGGCTTGAGCCCTGGATCCTGATAGTGGCTTCTCTCTCCCTGCAATGCCAGTGTGACTTCTTTAAGCGGACCCACTATTACCGGATCATGCCCAAATACCACGCGGTACGGATCCGTGAGGAGGAACGCTACCCGCCTCCAGGGAGCACCCTGCCCACTAAGAAGCACTGGGTGACCAGCTGGCAGACTCGGGACCGATACTACTGACGTCCTCCCTGATCCCACCCCCTCGCCCCCCCTCCGTGTCCCCTTTCCTCCTATTTATCGTAAGTTATGCCTCTGACAGTCCACGGGGGCGCTGCCTTTGGCTGGCGCCCGCGGGCCCAGGCACACACGCCTCATCAGGCATATGCATGTGCCGTCTGGCCATGGGCATCTCCCTGCGGGAAGGCCACACACACCACAGCCCTGTGTGCCCCAGGCACACATGGGGCCTGACACTCATGGATCGTGCTTGTGCACCACGGATGGCACATGGATACGCGGCATCCCAGCCTCCGCCTGTGCCAAAACCAAGCCAAAGGGCCTCAGCTAGAGCCAGGAGGAAAAGCCCCCTGCGTGGTGACACCTCCTCCGTTCACACTGGATCCATCTCGAGCCATAGTCACTGGACTGACTTTGCTGTCGAGAGTGAAACTACTGACAGGGAGCAGCCGATGGCCCCAGCTGCAGCTCCCCACAGCCCCGCCGGGGTCCTGCTGGAGGTGTTTGTAGGACCCGGCAGGCTCAGACCTGAGAGCACAGGAACTCGAAGGCAGACCCAGAAGGGCTTTCTTTCCTGGTTTTCTGTGCGCCCTCCCCTACAGCCCCTCTCACACACTGAACTAGCCGGGAATGCAGGAGCAAAGACAGACTGCTAGGCAGCCCGATATGCTGTGCCTGGACTGCCCTGGGCACACGGGGAGCCCTCCAGAGATGAGGGAACCAACCAGGTGCTGGAAGGAGACAGAGGAGGAGATACCACTCCTGACACCCCACCAGCCAGCCCCAGAAGGGTCTGGAGGGACTCCCCCACGAGACCACAGAGGAGTGACATGTGAATGTAGGACAGGGAGGGAGCCCTGTCCCTGCCCCATCTGGCCAGACCCCACCGCGACCCCACTGACCATGAGTTGGGGCCCTGTGGTAGAGTCCTCAGCTGTCCTCAGCTTTCAGAGCCACCCTGGCTCTGACCCCTTCCCCATGGGCTGTGTGTCCTGAGGCCCATTCTAGACACAGGCTGGTTCCAGAAAGCCCCCTCCTGACCCCTGCCTGTCGGCGGGCCCATTCCCAGCCCCCACCCCCTCCATGGTACTGTAGCGGGGGAGCGCCCCTCCTCGTGCCTTCTTTGTATATAGGCTTCTCACGGCGACCAATAAACACCTCCAGTTCGTAAGCGCTGCCTTGCCTCCACCCCCCCTTAGCAAAATGGTTCAACCTGAGTGGATGGTGATCTCATCCCAGCGATCCTTAGTAGATGAAGCCAGGCGTAGGCTCTTGGAGGTTTGAAAGTGAAGATGACAGAGGAGGCACCAGCCCCTCTGCTCAGGGATGGCCCATGATTGAGATCTGGAACGGAAGATAAGGGAAGAGACCTGGGTCAACGGGGTGGAATCCAAGATGTCTTCATGGAGGACAGTGCTGGCCCTGGGAGGGAGTGGCCAGTAGAGGTGGGGGTGCTGGGTCCACAGGGGGCAGGAAGTTACTCTGCACAGGTAGTCCTGGCAGGCAGCAGAGAGAGGCTGGGTGCTAGGTGGACAGAGGAGAACCCTCAGGGTGAATTCAGATCAGAGCCTGTTTTTCTGCCTCGGTTTCCCCGCAACCACTCCCAGGCACCATAAAGGAAGGTCAGAGTGAACTGGTGACCTGAGGCTGTAAAGGCTGAAAGACCATAGTGTGTATTCCCCAGCCTTTGGGCAGGAGTCTCTGGACCTCAGGAGGGTCTGGGGACCAAGCCCATGTAGCCGCATCTCTTGGGTCCAACCCTGTGCTTCCTGCCACTTCGCAGGCTTCCCAGAGCAGCTGCCTCCTCTGCCCTAAGGAGGCCTGGGGCACGGTTCAAGGCTGCTGTCTTGTGACCTCTTTGTCCTAGGTGGTAGCATAGGTTCTTCTGTTAATTTTCCCCAAGCCTGTGACTTTGATGAGACTTCACCAAAGACTGGAAATCACTACCCAGAGCAGCTAGGCAGAACCCAGGTATAGTCACTTAGAGCTCACAGACCCAGGCCATTCTGGGAGCCCCTCCAGATGTTGGGGTCCCTCCAGCCTCCTCTCTGAGGAAGCTGCTGCCCTAACTCCCTCCACCAGGCCTGTCTCACAACACAAGGGGCCCAACACCCACCCTACTCCCCCTGCCTGGCCCCCTCATTTTCTGTGCTGGGATTTGCCCCTTTCCGGGATGATTGACAGTGGACTGTCCAGTTCCCCCAGCAAAACCTCAGCCCCTGCCCAGAGCCGCCGGGCTCCAGAACCCAGTGATCACAGAGACCTCATTTTGTTTTCCAGAATCTGGGCTTCACTTCTCTGGGAATAACACCACCCTTGGGTTGTCAAAGCCCAGGTCAGTCCTATCCTTACAGTCACTTCCTGCTTAAGACAAAGGGCTGTTTGTACTTCACCCTGGTCAGTTTCATAGCCCCAGTTCCCCGTGAGCTGCTGCTTGGACGAAAACACACACTAACACACACACACACACACACACACTCACTCCTGAGGATAAGACATCTTCAGAAGTGTAATTGGCAGAGATGCAACAGTGCCCGCTAAAAAGGACCCTCACAATGCCATGCTTCTTCAGCTCCCCAGAAAGGCAGCATCTCCAAACTGTGTTCCAGAAGTGGGTCTTGGCTCTTGTGTTGCTAAAGGACCCATCAGAGCGCTTCTTCCCTCTCCGGGCGCATGGTAGGATTGCGCTTCCTGGGCCCTTCCTATGAGATGAGGCCATGTGACTAATTCTGGCCATGGCTTGTGAGCAGGAAAGTGGATCACTTCCGGGATGAAATGTGGAATTGCTCCCAGTTCTCTCTTCCTGCCTCTGCTGCTGCAGAAGCCTGGGTGGAGATAACGCTTCTGTCCGTCTGAGTCCCTGAGAGTCCCCCAAGCCCAACCTGGACATATAGTGGGACATTAGGGGATTTGGGGTTTTGTTATCCTGGCATCACCTAGCTGGGCCACCCTGCAGCAATCACACAACTGCTGGTACCACCTTGCAGCAATCCCTGCAAGAGGACTTGATGGAAGTTCAGCGCTAAGCAGAGAATCATGGGAAATCTCTTTCCCTCTCCTACACCTAGCCTCAGAGGTCATGGCCCTTTCTTTGTTACTTTACTTTTGACAAAAACAGTAATTGTTGCTAGGCATGGGGCTAGGCTTTTTGTACATAACAGCCCTTGCACTCTTCCATGCCCTTGAAAACTGCATTCCCTAACATCATCAATCTTCTAATCACTAACCCAGTGGATGTCTGATGCCCCCCCCCATATCTCTGTGGCATGTCTCTCAGCCAAGTCCACTTCCTTTGATCAACCTGTCCTCCTCCTATTTGCCACACACTGTGCCTGGGGCTGCAGATAAAGCAGTAAGACAAACACAACCCTGCCCTCATGGAGCTTAAAGCCTAGTGAGAACAGTAGATGCCTCAGCAGACAATTATCACCCAGTGTGATCAGAGCTAAAAGACCGTGCTAAAACCAGGGGATCTGAAGAGCCCTTGACGGGAGCTCCTATCCCCGGCCTGGAAGGCTCCAGGGAGGGATTCCAGAAGGAAGCGATGACTAAGCAGCGGAGATCTGAAGAATGAGTAGGTGAGGCTGAGAACAAAGAATGATTCAGACAGAAACCGCATTTGCCATGGCCTGGAGATCAGAGGCTGGCTCAAGGCCGCAGACAGGTATGGCTGGAAGTTCAGCGGAGGAGAGAGGAGAGAGGAGGCTGTAGAGTTAAGCCAAAGTGAATCATGTGGGAGGCTGAGACGAGGCTGTAGAGTTAAGCCAAAGTGAATCATGTGGGAGGCTGAGACGGAAGGATGACCTGAGCCCAGGAGGTCAGAGTCGTGGTGAGCCCTGACGGTGCCACTGCCCTCCAGCGCTGGCAATTAAGGGAGCCCCGAACTCAAAACAAACAAACAAAACATGGTCAGTACAACAGAAGCTGTCTTGAGAATTAAATGAGATAATGCACGCAGACAGTGCCTGGCACATAGGTTATTACTCATCCAGCGAAGAGTCCCTTCCATTGTGAAGCCTGGCTGGGACGGCTGTACTGTAATCGCATTCTGTTATAACCGATTGTCTTCCAAGTCGAGAAACGAAATGATCGAGGAGAAAGGGCACGTCCCGCCTGGTCTGTGTTTCCTGCTCCCAGCACAAAGCCTAGCACATATTAGACGCCGTGCAAGGGGCGGCCCTGCCACCGGCCCTGCCACCGGCCCACCAAATACCGCAGGGCAAAGCACCCACGGGCCCGTCGGGCCCTGGGCCCGGTGCGGGACGTACCGCGTTGGACCACGAGGGCGCGCGACGTCCCCCTCCAGAGAGGGGGGGCTGCTGGGGAAGGGGGGGGCGCCCGGCCCCCGGGACGCTTCTCGCGGGACCTCGCTCGAAGGAAGCCGGAGGCGAAGCCGGTGGCTTCTTGGGCGGCCACGCTAGAGGTCCGAGGCTTTACGTTGAGTCAGATGAGCTGCATAATAATAAAACGAAAATGTTTCGAAAATTAGTCCGGATGGCGACTGCTGCGTCCCCCGCCACTGATCTTTAGGGTTTTGAAAAGCAGAAAACTCCGGAGAGCAGGAGACGAGCCGTCTGGATCTTTGTGGAGGGGGGCTGGCTGCACGCATATAGGACGGATTCGTGTAGGCTTGCTTCCTGGTTCCGAATTTTGCAAATATTACCTTTCTAGGTCACTGTCATCCGGACTGGGAATTCACAAGACCCGTGAGGCGGGAGAGCAGGTGAAGGGCAGGGCAGGTGCCACGGGTACTTCTGGGAGGAAAAGGATTCCTTGAAAGCCGCCTGGACTGATCGGGGAAGGAAGGGTTAAAAGGAGCCGGCAGGTGGAGGTGTGGGGAGGGAGCCAGGGAAAGGCAGGAGAGGAAGAGGAAGTGAAAGCGTTGGGGGGGACTCCAGGGAGGAAGGGGTTAACCCAGGCTCCGTCCCTAGGAGGAAAGGGAGGAGTGAACGCGGGAGAGATGGGATCTCGGCGCGGCCTCCCCAAAACAACGGGCCGCCCCGGCAAAGACGGAGTTAAGGGGCGGGCCCGCAGGGAAGCCACGTGCCGGGGCGGAGGGCGATTGGTTCTCCCGGGGTTGT